GGGGTCTCGCTCTTGCTCAGGCTGGTCTTGAACTCCTGAGCTCAAATGATCCACCCGCCTTGGCCTCCCAGAGTGCTGGGATTACAGGCATGAGCCACCACGCCCGGCCCCAAATTGGAGCTTTCTAAAGCCTGTATTTAGCTGATTATTCTTTTGGGGGGTGTGATACACCTGCCTGATCATTGTTGTTGCTGCTCTTCCCTTGTCGCGTTGGAATACACCGGGAAGTAGTTTCTTACAGTTCGTAATGGCATCCCTTTTGTTCAAGTGTCTCCAGCAAGTTGAGAGATGAGACTTGAGTCCCTGAGAATTGATTCCTGGTTGGTGGCTGTCACTCCTTTTACATGTCCCTTTCCTAGACTTTCTATTACTTGACAATCACGACTAGATCCTCTAGGTCAGCCTCCCTCGAACAACTTAATGAGGCCGTGAACTCTCTTTGCGTTCAATGATTATTTATGTCTCCACAAACAAAACCAAGCACAAAGCTCAGCAATGTGATTATTATGATTACTTATTAGTCTCACTGAGTACTTAAAATTTTTCAGGTGGTGTGATAAGCACTTCCCACACAATGTCTCTTTCACTCTACACTGCAGTTCCATGAATCTGCTACTCTTAATAGTAATAGAGTAATTTTGTGTCACTGATGGTTACACTGCCCCAATCCTTTCACTGGTCCAGTTCCCACAATCCCTGTCCACAATTGCAAATGCCAAAGAGCTCTGCAAATCAAAAGTTTTTTATATTATTTAAGCAAACTAGTTTGGCAATATCATATGACCTGAACCGATAGGAGGTTTCTTTTTAATCATCTTTATTTTTGTCACTATGCAAAAACTGCTGCAGAAGTATCCCTGATTGTAAGGTGCTGCCCAGATCCCACAATAGTTACTCAAGAATACACAGCATTTGAACCACATTACTATTCACAAATTTGAAAATTTCTGAATTCCATCATACAAACTGGCCACAAGAATTCTGGATAAGAATTGTAGACCTGTATTTAGAATTTTAGAGTCCGAAGAGTATTTAAAAGTAAAGTTCTTCATTGTATACATGAGAAAAATGAAGTCTAAGGCAGAAGTGATGTTAGAATTCAGGGAAAAGTTTGTTTTTAACTATATCATATGGCCTCTTTTCTCTCCTTGTAAAGACTCTCCTTAGCTACAAAATAGAGATAATAATAGTACTTACGTCACAGAGTTATTACAAGAATTAGACAAGATAAGGCAGAGGCAGGCTCGTTCTAGTTCTACATGTCCCATCAAGATCATCAGCGTCCTTGGAGATAATGCACTGAATTATTAACCTCTGTGTCTTTCTTTGCACTTCCTTATGCATGAGTGATGCCCACGTCCACACTGCCATTGGGAACACTAGGAGAGTGCAGGGGAAAGAATGAAAGCTATGGTTTTGACTTCCAAAATAGGCTCTGGATGCCCACAAAATAAATGTGAAAGCCCAACCGGGAGTGGGAACCTGCAGCCTCAAGGCCACACGTGTCCCTCCAGATCCCCAAATGCGGCCCCTTGACTGAGTCCAAACGTCACAGAAAAATCCCTTTATTAAAAGGATTTGTTCAGTAAAATTCAGATTCAGTGAAAGGGCTGCACTCAAGGATCTAGAAGGCCACACATGGCCCCCCACACATGGCCCCAAGGTCGCAGGTTCAGAGCCTGGTTTGGAAAAGCTTTAAAGCAATAAAAACAAAAGTCCAGGGAAAAAAGCAAACCACAGAGCTTTTGCTCTAATAATTGGTTGGAGAGAGAATGGAGGGATGTCCAGACTACGCTGTCTCAGAAAGCCAGATGAAAGCTACCTGGGCCACGGAAGGAGAAGGAAGGTTGATCAGACAAGCCTCGGAAAGGATATGTTGGGGGCTGAGACGAAGGCACTGAACTTAGCAAGACCACATGAACCAAAGGAATCAGCTTAAACAGCCAGCCAGGCACCACTGCCACCAACACTCAGGTCAGGAGCCGGGCCAGGGCCTGTGGGCTTCCACCTGGGAGTACTGCAGGTCGCTTGTGCCCGGACCCAGATCTTTATTGTCCTTGCCTGTTCAGCATCTTCTATTGACAATGGCAACCACACATCCAGCTTTGCCCAGGAATAGAAGTCTGTTGCTTACCTGTTTATACTTCTTGTCCCGGCATAACTAATAACACCTACTTTATTATTTATATTTTACAGATGATAAAATATAGAGTCACTCTACCTATTGACAGCAGCCTGACTTTTCCCAGCTGATCATCCAGCAGAAGTAGCACCATTCACCTCTTAAGGTTTTGCAGGCTCTCATCTGAACTGCTCCAAAGAGACACACCACTTCATATACCCGGCACCTTGCAAGGCCCCGGAAGCACAAGGTGAGGGCCTTGGTACCCAGATGGATGGTCCTTCCAGGAAAGACCTGA